CCAATCTCTTCCATAGCTCGGTTATGGCGGTTGGCCTCTTCGAGTTTCTTTCGTGCGTTTTTCGCATCGATGACAGTTTTAGCGATAGCAGCGGCTCCGCCCGAGAGCGAACCTAAAGCCCCTAGCGCTCCTAATAACGGTAAAAGTGGTAAATACCGCCCGATTTTGATTCGAACGGAATAATTCTAGGTACCCTAATTTTTTTACGTCCTCCCGCTTTTCTTACAGCGGCTCTGCCAGCTCGAAGCACTTCCAGTGCCGATCTTCTAAGCATTTTAGGGTTATCGATATGAAACAATTGTTTCTTCTTTAATGCATTGCGAACCTTTTTCACGACACCCTGTCGAAACGAAACAGAGGGACGCCGTTGTTGACCCATACCGAGCTTACGTTTAGTTTTCATAGTCGCGGTGACAAAGAATGCGGCAGCTTTTTCACCAAACTTTGCGTCTTTAGATTTTACTCGCTGCCACGCACGCGTTTCCAATTCTTTATCCGCTTTATGACGTTCGTCTAACGATTTGTTTTGCGAATAGGCAATGTCGTGTACCTTACACGCAGCGTCCAAAGGATTCACCCCGCTATCGCCTCGGTTCAAGCGTTTTTCCAATTTTGTACCGGGACCGCAAAACTGGTAACCCGGAATGTGTACTTCAAAAGGTAACTTGTTAATAAGCGTGTTAACGAGACCACTTCCGGACGCGAAGCATAACATACTAATTAAAGGAAATTGCTTGTGTCGTATATATATACGAGGTGTCTCGAATAAACATTGTAGTCATGCGGGTGGTGCAGCAGAAACTCAAGCTCCCCATCGATAATTTAGATTTGGTTTGCGGAGATGGTTTCTTTAACAAAAGCAAACACGGTCAACTGCTACCCAATTCATTTAGGGCGGTGTTTTTCGGACCTAGCGGTTGCGGCAAAACCAACACCATGTTAGCGCTACTCTTTAACCCCAACGGGGCAAGTTTCGAAAATGTTTACGTCTACTCAAAGTCGTTGTATCAACCAAAATATCAACTGTTATCTCGCGTATTGAGCAATGTCAAAGGAGTTGGATATTATCCCTACAGTGAAAGAGACTCGATAATCGACCCCAGCGACGCGAAAGAGAATTCTCTGTTTATTTTCGACGACGTGGCGTGCGACAAGCAAGATAAAATTCGCGAGTATTTTTCGATGTGCCGACACAAGGCCATCGACGCTATTTATCTCTGTCAGACATACTCCAAGGTACCCAAGCAATTGATACGTGACAATTGCAATATTGTCGCGTTGTTTAAACAGGATGACATGAATTTACGTCACGTTTATGATGAACATGTCTCACCCGACGTTTCATACGACACGTTTAAACAAATTTGTTCCGAGTGCTGGAAAGAAAAGTATGGCTGTTTGATAATTGTCAAAGATTTCGACGTAAAAAACGGACGCTACCGCAAGGGTTTCGATAAATATATAAAAGTCGATATTTAATTGTCGATAGAAACAGTCATGAAGGCGACGTCCGCCGACATCGCCGACGCGGCGCTAAAAAAAAAAAGTAAACGAGTTGTCTAGATCTATTCGAAAGAAGTATTTAACATTAAAATTGGGTAAGAGCGAAGAGGATGCGTCAATTCGGAAGCTTTTCAAACCCGTCAGCGAGCCGCTAGAACGTATAGCAAAAATAAAGCTATCACCGTCACCGGCAGAAATAAAAACTGAACGTCGAGGTGTCAAGCGGGAACACAAAAAGGAACCGAACGAAGAAACAAAAAATAAGGTTAACGTATCATTTTTGCCTATGGAAGAAATTCAGGAAACGCCGGATCCCAATAAGAGCGTTGAGATGCAAAATATCGATGAGGAGGAAGATGATGTGTTTGACACATCGAGCGTGGCCAATGCATCCCTTCAATCATACCTGGAACAATATCCAGAAATTTCCCATTCATATATTCAAAATTTATGGGTAAAATCGCCCGACACCGATATTGTTTACGGACCCGTTTACGACAAAATATCATCCAAATGGTTTCTCGGCAATAAATCGCTGGATTTTCATCAAGGATCTGGCGATATTATTGTAGACGGCGAGAGATATTCCGGTACCCGCGGCTTGTATAATTTGGTGTTTTTGAAAGATCCCATAGCATACACAAAAGACGATTTGGCACAATATAAAAAAATAATGGAGGCTACCCAGGTGCACAGGGACGCGATCGGACGTTTGAAAGGCGCATCGACTGTACCAAAATATACCAAGGTCATCCGACCCTTAATAAAATCTCAGTCGCGTTCGTACTCGTACAGCGGTCAAGGTTATAATATGCGTTATAATGACGCTCCTACTGAATATGTATACTGGGACGACGTCAACGAACTCGTAGAGCGTCTGAAATTACTAATCGCGTCGAAACACGCAGGCAACACGTCTCATGATAACGAAATAGTTTCAATCGTTGAAGAGCTAAAAGAATCAGGTTTTATACGTTAGTTTAACGATGAGTCTGGACAAGTTTGGACGTTCTAGCGCTCTGCGCTCTAAACGACCCTTCACTAATACTGTGATTAGAAGCGCCCTCGATTATATGCCAGACGGAAACGTCAATATGAACAATTTAAAAATTTGCAATGTCCAAACGCCTAGCGACGACGGTGACGTGGCTAACAAAAAATATGTGGATGAGACAAGTAATTTATTAAAAATTGCATTGAGAAAGATTATTGGACAGAAACTCGAAGCGTACACGAAAAGATTACAAATTGAAGACAAAACTAAATTCTCGCGTCTTGAAGAACAACTGAAAATGAGTAGCACTACACTCGAAAATGAAATTATGCAGTTTCGCGAAGTTTTCCACCAAAAGCTAAGCAAAATGAGCGCAAAGAAAGATTTGGAAAAGCACATGACAAAAGTCGCCGTTTTGTCACAGCAATTTCATGATATTGTAACCAAAATGGAGCGACTTACGAACGAAAATGAGAATATAATGAAGGTATTGAAACAAAGGGTTTTAAATCCTCCATCGCAACCGAACACACATTATGAATAAAGAGAAGGTACAACTGGTTCGAGAACTGCACAAGCCGGCACGCAGAAATTATGCTCGCCGCCGGACTATAATACGAGGGATGGACGACCTGTGGCAAGCGGATCTGGCCCAATTAGATCGCTACAGCAAACAAAACAGAAATTTTAAATTCGTGCTGGTTGTGATAGACTGTTTCTCAAAATATGTATGGTGTCGCCCGTTGAAAACCAAAACCGGGGTCGAAATCGCCAAGGCGTTTTTCAAAATTCTCAAGGACGGACGGCACCCTCAAAACTTGCAAACGGATCTCGGTAAAGAATTTTACAACGACACGTTTCTGAAACTTGTGGATAAGCATAAAATTAACCACTATAGTAAGTATAGCATAAAAAAGGCCTCAATTGTCGAACGGGTGATACGTACCCTCAAAGAGAAATTGTTTCGACATTTTTCTTTACGCGGGACGTACATATGGATCGATGTGCTCGACTCTATCGTTGATGAATATAATAACACAAAACATAGAACGACGGGTACGAAACCCATCGATGTGAGTAAGAGCAATGAAAAGAGAATTTTGAAAACCGCGTATAGTAGCATAAAAATATTCGGTCCTCGTAAACTTAAAGTCGGCGACATCGTTAGAATCAGCAAAGTCAAGCAGGTTTTTAACAAAGGTTATACACCGAATTGGACCACGGAATTGTTTAAAATTGTTAAAGTACGGGTTACTAACCCCGTAACGTATTTGCTTCAAGATATGCAGGGTAAACCCATAATGGGCGGATTTTATGAAGAAGAATTGCAGAAGACAGTTAACCCGGACTTATATCTCGTCGAAAAGGTGTTGCGCAGACGAGGCAATATGGTTCTCGTGCGCTGGTTGGGATTGGATAAGTCGCACGATTCGTGGGTAGACAACGTAGACGTTTTGAAATAAATTTAGTCTCGATTTAGAAGTTCTGACATAAATACGTGTATATGATGGCTCAAGAGCAAATTGTGACATCCAACGAATTGTATAATTTATTGGAAAATTTCGAGTTGCAATTTCCTTCATCAGAAGTGCTCCCGTCCAGCTTCGTTCCTGTAGAGCAACAAACCAAAAAATCTGCGACAAAACGAAAACAAAGTGCGTCGGTCGTATCCCGCAAGAAGAAGAAGAAAACTACCACAAGTGAAGCGTTTGCAGCTCCAACGTCATCCGCTGATTGGCTCGAAGTGTTCACGGACGGTAGAGAAAAAAGTGTCATTTGTGAGGCATTCAATTTAAAAAGAAACTTGGCGTCTCAGTTGTCGGGATTAGAGTGCAATATCAACGAAATTGAAACACAAATTGCGCTTTTTAATACAGACTTGCAAGTGGCGCGGATGCAAGCTCAAGAGTGCAAAAGAAAACTAGAACAATTTAATAATTTAGCATTTAACGAAATTGTAAAATAGTAATAATGTATATAATAAATAAATTATACAATTACAAACTTCTGTGTAATTATTATGCGGTGTTGTGGTGGTGGTAAAAAAGAAAATAGCGTCTAAATATATACATGTTTATTCTTGTTGCAATACAATGGAATACAATCAATACATAAAAGCCTTATCTACAGTTACATATTTTATAATAAAACCACAGTATTAATAGTTCAACGGACTATCAGAAAAGCGTAACTTTTTTCCATATTTCCTCTCATTGTGAAGCATTAAATTACATTCATCTTCAGTTTCTACAGTGAACAAAACTTCTTCAAAGCAGCTTTGACACCAGAATTGTTTATCGTGATATACATCATTCAAATTATTTATATCCAGCTGTAAATGACAGTGATCCAATAAAAGTCTAAAATTTTTCTTTTTAAATTTTTTAACTACTTGAAATATAAAGTGACAAGATTTACAAACTAAAATTTCCGAATATTTTATCCTGTAATAACTGACCCATAAACAGTAAGCGGATTCTCCGTCAAAATCAATGGTTGGAGTTGCCAAAATGCTATTTCTGTAAGACGATCCAAATCTCTTATTCAACAGAATGAATTCTAAATTTAATAAAGAATTGCCATCAGACTGGAGCGCTAATTGTTTAAGGTACCTCCATCTATATTTCGAATAATATTTAAATATTAGTATCGTTAGTTTCCAAGGCAAAGGTGACTCACGCAAAAAATCAGCACTACACCTAATATTTTCGCAAATTGTTATAATACAAAGGCTTTCTAATGTAAGTTGTTTGACCATAATCTGTAACAAAAATATATTAAAAAATAATTACGGCACTTTATAATGTCCCCACGGAAGCGTTTCATATGAATTCGGCAAAAGATAACGTTTATCGTCTAAAGGACTCAAGGCAACTTTTATTTGTTCGATGCTAAATACATTGTGAGTGTATGAACGAATGGTTAGTTGAGTGGCGTACTTTTCCCTAAAATTTGTTAAGCATTCTACGTAGTCATCAAATGAAATTTTATTTTTTACAATATTGTACTGAATACCCTTTGACTTTTTAACTACCGAACCCGTTAAAATTTTGAAAGTATGCATTTTCGACCTTAACCCCGCATAATGACTAATGATGGTGCCATTAGTCTCATCCTTCATCAACCCCAAAACCTTTTTGTTGATTTGCGGTATATTATAGGGATTGTCATTAGGATAATCAGACGTGTCAAATTTTGTTAAATCGGCCTTAATAACGCTTTCATATGCGTCATAACATTTGATATTATAAATGAAACTGTCCGTATCCATGTATTGAATTTTACATTTTTCGGGACCCAAATTTGGAAGCACGTAATTATAATGAAACTCGTACATGGTCGTTTTCGACAAATCCAATATGGACATTCCAATATAAAGTGGCTTATTAAAGCAAAGTTCCGATTTTTTTAATTCTATAAGCAACAAATTGTTATCAAGTATGGTTCTACTGTGAAATCTAGGACTAGAAATTAAATTTTTCGCACCGTAGCGACCATCCCACGCTTTAACAAATTTAACAATACGATGCTTGCGAATGTTTTCCATTGTTTTACCGTTGTTGTTGTACCATTGTTTATTAAACAATTTGTATAAATTTATACCAAATTTTGTCTTTGCTTGGGTTCTTAATTTATTATTATGATCGATATAACATTTCAACCAACGAGATTGGTTAAATTTTAATATTTTGTGAATTTTCTTTAGTACGAGACCGTTTTTGAGAGCCTGTTTTAAATTGCGATAGTGTATGACGTATTTTTCTTTATTATACAAAATAGTCATTAGTTTTGGTAACTTTGAATTGGGGGGCACTCGATGTTCAGCACAAAATGGAAAATCTCTATGTGTGTCATGTAATTTCTGCGGGTATTCCAGGTCTACCTCTAGGATATATCCTTGGGAAGATTCATCTGGAATGTTCATGACATTAAATGAATCAATCTCTTGATGAGACATCCAGTCGAATCCTCCGTAAGGAAGAGGCTCGCACATGGCCTTGCCATAGAGGTTATTGACGTCAAAGTACATGATATAGGAATCATCCCTGGATGAATCGTAGTTGGGCATATATTTATTGTTGGCCTCCGCATATCTACCAACACATACCGAAATTCCACCTCGTATAGCCCGCTCGATAAACATAATTTGGTCAATGTCGCGCAAAAGTTCTAAACGACATTTTGTGAATCTAAGCATGCAATCCCATGTATACCCGGGCATACTGAAATACCACGCCGGATCCAAAACGTGTGTTGCCATACAAGTTTTTCGAAAATTTTCGAATATATCTGCCAGAAGAATAACGTCGGTTTTTAAATACAAATCTGAATACTCGCCTAAATTTTTTATTTCAAACGACTGCCAAACACTTTGTGCGTGGGAATATTTTTCTTCACTAATATTGCTTTCACTTAATTTATTATAGAATTCTTCAATCGGGGGTAAAGTTGTTTCATTTAATTTGTCTATATGGTCGATGTAATCGTAACAAAAAATACCTTTTTGCGACAGTAAATTTAATTTTGATTCGTCGAGATCGGAAAATTCTTTTCTTAAAATATATAGTTCATTTTTATCCATACTGGAAACTAAATTATCCAGAGATGCTCCCAAAAATCTAAACGAATCTATAAATCTAAATTTTATGTTATAATCAGGTTCGAAATATGTAAAAGAGATGTATTTTTCCTTATTAACCAGAACTATAGATACATAGCTTTTTTTTGCTAAAACCGGAAGCAGGAAGTGGCTATCGTATCCAGAAAGGTTCTGGAATACTACGGGCACTACAAATATTTTTTTAAAATTTAAATTACAAGCCTGATGGGCAAAACCTCTAAATTTACCAGTAAAATGATCATGGTCACGAACAATAACATCTTCTTTTAAAAAAGGTTTTTCACAAATATGACAATGACTCGACCTTTGATCTAGACTAATTTCACTATCCATTGGTATAATATCCTTAAATTTTGAACGAACAAATTTTGATAAATTAGATATTTCCTCCACGAACCAATCAATACAATCTAGACCACGATAACTTTTGAAAAATGATATTGAATCATCATAAGAACATTTAAAGTAATATGCAGCACTGTAAGCTTCGTGCTTTTGGTATTTCGAGGTTTTATCTGAAATTTTCAAATTTACTTTTCTCAATGGACTCTCAAAATCGGCGTAAATTACAAACGGAGTCCTTTGTTTATATATATGGTTTCGAAATTCAACGTAATCATATTTGGGAAAAGACACTTTATACTCATTGAAACTGGAACATATTGTTTCGTGGTCATGTAGACGAGTTTCGTTATTGAAATAATTCAAACACCTATCGCAAATGTATTTCTTGTGATTATATTTACTGAGCTGTGAGGAAACTAATCGAGACAAATTTTTAATGTAACAATAGTGATATTTTATTTCTTCATGATCATTATCTTGCGGATCAGGATCAAAATCATTAACTTTTGTATTAACAACAAATTTGAATGTTTTTCGCGTTTTTCTTTTGTTAATCGTGCAGGTAACACGGAAAAAAAACTAGTTTTTTCATTTTTATTAAACTCTAAGATATAAACATTGATGGAAATATCATTGTCTTTTTCAAATTTGCTTATTTTATTCATTTCCATAGGTGTTTGTAAATTTTCAGTTTTCAAAACACTTTTGTAGTATGGATATGAAGAGGGTAAATACTGACGAAAACGTGCTGGAAAGAGTCCGCATACAACTGACCAATAAAAACACGCTTGATCGTCATTTCTAATGTTAATACAAGCCCTTTTATTCGCAATTTCTTTAGGCAACTCAACGAAGGATGACCCGTTACCCATTTCAAATTTATTAATGTTAATCTCTAAATAAATAATATTATTTAAAGCCCACCCGAAATCACGTTCCTGAAACTCTGACATTTGATTTAAAATTTTATCTTGCACATTTTCAACAAACCAATCATTCAATTCTGTTCCTAAATCAACTACAGCATTTCCGGTACTCAGATATTTAACATCAACTTCGCCTTGGACATCATTTTTTGCCTTAATAAATTCACCGCAAAATGTGGTATTTACTTTCAGCAATAAAAATTTCTTTAAAATTTGACTAATTTTTTGTTGAAATATTGGACGACAATCGTTTAAAAATTGAATTAAATCTTTATGAAGTAAATTAATTATGACACCGGTCTGAACTCTTCCCTGGAACACGACGATACCGATTCCCATACAACCATTTCATTTGTGTTTGTCTCGCGGCTACTACTTTGTAATCCCAATCCAAAATGCTTATGTTGATAATTAAGAATAATTTTTCTAATAGCTTTCAGATGTTGAATTGTAGTTTGTAATTTTCTTTTTAACCCAATAGATAAATCCTTTTCGTTAGAAACGATTTGGTTGCAAGATTCAATATTTTTATTTAGTCTCCTAAGCCACACATCACTATCTCTAAGAGTGAACTTGTCGGAAATATGCTTTTTTAATTTTTGTAAGGTTAAAATTAAGATTTGCGCTCTATGAATGATCTGCTTTACGCGCATCGTGGTTTATTAAATATATAACAGTAAATAAGACTTACCCTGTATAATATGTTGATTAATTTTGAATTATTTTGAATTTCTTTAAAAAGTTGGGCTTTCCAATATCTTTGGATCCCTCGTAGACCAGTTTGTACTGCCCCGACGCAAAGTGTTCTAGTCTCGGACGGAAAGCTTCTGTCACGCGAGTAGGAAGAAATACTACGGAATTTTCTAATTGCAGCAACACGGAATTGCCAAATTTTGTATTAACAATTTTGGCTCTAGTAATTTTAAACGGAACGCCTATCGGCAATTCATGCAGTTTGACAATCGGCTGCTCAAAATCACCTTCTGCAAGACAGGTTTGATTCAGTTGACTTAAGTCCATCTATAAATTATTATTAATTATTTTATCTCAAAATAAAAAAAAATAAAAAAAACTTACGCTTAAGATTGCTGCTATTCTATTTGCGGTTACGGGTTGAGAGTACTAAGATGATCTTTAAGACCTTTATAAAATAATAACAAATGTTAAAGAATTAAAATAAAACAATAAAAAAGGTACTTACTGCTTTTTTGTACGAACACCAAACCACTAAGTTAGCTTCCACGTTGCACGAATAATACCAAAAACAACTACTGACAAAACAGAGAAAAATGAGATGTATTTATACGGTGCGAGAATACTTTCTAAAAGTTAACTAACGAAGACACCTCCACATGCGTTGCAACAAATTTTTCCCATTACGTTAATCCCACGGAGCAAATATAAACGGGCAATTAATTATTATTCTCAACAAGCAAAACAACTTGACATTTAGACTCGGCGCGTTTTGAAATTCCACATCCCATACGGAGATTGTAAAAAATGAAAGCAAGTTGGCCTTGATCTTTTGCGGCAACATACGTTCGTCCAACGTCCGAAGCGGTTGCGTTCCCGTGTGAAAGCGTGTTGACCTTGAGACTTCTACCTGCACGGTTGTCTGGCGACAACATCGCGTCTATTCAAATCGGCATTGGTGCTTGTGGGTAGAAGACCTTTCGACTTTTAATTCAACCATGGAAGGGAGTGCATGTGTATAAATACGTTGCATGTGTATTATAGACTATATTCAGTGCAAGGAATACATAATAATACTGGTAAGTTTTATATTTTAATTACCTTTATACAGTGCGCGTCTTTTCTTGTGGGTTTCAGTTTGGGTTATCACTTTTTTGGTTAGTTTCTACCTGTTTTTAAAATATGATACTCATCTTTTTTACGTTGCATAATAACCGATTTAAATTGAGTGTTTTTAATATCTTTTAAATGACAGTGAATGGAAAAGGGAATTTTGGCTTTTAAAAAATAAACAATTTTTAAATTTGTTTCAAAAATGTGCGTTTTATGGGGAAAACGCGAAATATGTTTTATTTTTTGTACTAAAAAATTGCAGTTTGCCTTTTTGACAATAATAATCGAATTAAATTGAGCGTTTTTAATATCTTTTAAATGACAGTGAATAGGGAATTTTGGCTTTTAAAAAATAAACAATTTTTAAAATTATTTGATGACCCCCCACTTACTGAAAGTTTTGTTTCAAAAATGTGCGTTTTATGGGGAAAACGCGAACTATATACATATTTTTGTTTATTTTTTGTACTAAAAAATTGCAGTTTGCCCTTTTGACAATAATACACTTATCATTTAAATGACAGTGAATTGAAACGTGAATTTTGGTATGCGCGTATAACTTAAAAAACAATTTTTAAAATAATTTGATAACCCCCCTTTTTGGAAGTTTTGTTTAAAAAAAAAATGTGTGTTTTATAGGAAACGCTACATATCATACTTTGTTTTGTTCTAGAAAAAATCGCGGTTTGTCCGTATGACAAGTCGCATATTATGTTGGCGCATCGCTTAGGGCGTCACATATTCAAATCACACAAAGAGTACCGGGGGTTAGAATTCCCGGTACGACATGAAACGACAAGGGAACATCACCAGCAGCAGGAGCAACCCGGTGGATCAAAAGAAACAAAGGAGCAGCAGGAGTACCCGGGTGGGTGGTCGACGGAGTGGGACGGCGAGGAGTGCACTTCGTATTTAGATTTCCTCCGGGAACGGGAAGAACAACGCAAGGAACAGGAACAATGGGATGGTCGACTGAATCGACATAAAAAGAAGAAGAAACTCCTCGCCAGACCAATTTTATAAATAAAATAAAATAAAATATATGAAAATTCAAGTTTATTTAATTATCCTCCCGATCCACCGCGTCACCGCGCCGCACCGTCACCGCCCTCTACCGGGGGGGGGGGCCTACGACGGTCGGAGCGCGCGACATCTAGCAGCGACGGGCGGAACCGGGGCAAAACAGGACGCTACACAAGCTGGCGACACAAGCGCGCGACATCTAGCAGCGACGGGCGGAACCGGGGCAAAACAGGACGCTACACAAGCTGGGTGGGGGGCGGAGCGCACTCTGGTAGACAGGGGGGACACTAGGACGCCACGCGCGGGGGGCCCCCGCTGCGGGGGGGTTAGGAAATTGAGGTTATGTACGGTTTCTGTTGCTTATATCGGCACTATACATCTACTTTCTTGTCTCGTTATAATGTGATGTATTAAAGAAAGATTAAATAATATAGATCCCAAGCTCGACCCCTAGTATCTTTCACAGGTTCGTCTTTTTACAATCTAAATTCATGGCTTAACACAGAAGTACAACTGCCTTGCAGAGCGTATATTCTACCAAAAATTCAGTTGAGTTAACCAGTTATTTGAAGAATAGCGACATTTCATAGTGCATTGGTTCTTTATTGAATATCACCACTTTTCCAACAGTTGTGATCGATAGTCTAGTTCTTCTATTGACCACTAGAAATTATGGATAGTCAATTCCCCTCATATCTAATAGCTGACAAAGAATATGTGGACGATATCTCTACTGCCTGGACTTCGTGCAATGGCAGCCAACAAAATTTTACAGAATTCCTAACGTTTACTAAGCTTGCCCGTTTTCTATGTTCTATTAGTTGCGAAAAGTAATACAATTGCTTTTTACAAAACTTCTGGATTCCTCCTGCGTCAGTTTTTGCTGAGTTGAAATTGCTGACGTTTTGCCAATCATCCTGTTGGCTTCTGCAGAGTTTGACT